CAAAAACAGAGGGTCTGAGGAGGTCGGCCCGGCGTCTAAGACTAGGTTTCAGACTCTAAGATTCTATCCGGGTATATATTATTTATGGAATATGGTATTGATATATTATTTATGGTATATGGAATTCTATATTATTTATGGAATATGGTATTAATATAATATTTATTTAATACGATATTAATATATAATTTATGGAAAACGATATTAATATGTAATTCATGGAATACGATATTAATACATAATTTATGGAATACGGCATTAATATATAATTTATTGAATATGGTATTAATAAATTATTTTTACAGACATCTTGCTAAGTTAGTTTTAAAAAGTATAAATGCATAATTCTGGTTTAAATTCAAAAAGGAGCGGGAAAAATGCTGCAATTTACCAAACTACAAAAGTTGAACAAATTAGATTCAGATTTTATTTCTATACATTTAATGTACATTTGGTTCTTGGAATACCATTTTAATAGTGAATAATACTTTACACAACTAACATATTTATATTTTAATAGTGAATAATACTTTACACAACTAACATATTTATATTTTAATAGTGAATAATACTTTACACAACTAACATATTTATATTTTAATAGTGAATAATACTTTACACAACTAACATATTAATATTTAATAGTGAATAATACTTTACACAACTAACATATTTATATTTTAATAGTGAATAATACTTTACACAACTAACATATTTATATTTTAAAATTTTCTGTGTTTAGGAATGCCTTCGACCCATGCGATAGTAGGATTTGTTGTACCTGGTTCAGTTATCATCTTTACTATGTACAGATACATCTACCCCTTCTCTCTACTCCTAGCTGCATCTATGTACGTATTCTCATGTACAGATACATCTACCCTTTCTCTCTTCTCCTAGCTACATCTATGTACGTATTATCATGTACAGAGACATATACCCCTTCCCTCTACTCCTTGATACATCTATGTACGTATTATTCTGTACAGATACATCTACCCCTTCCCTCTACTCCTTGATACATCTATGTACGTATTATCATGTACAGATACATCTACCCCTTCTCTCTACTCCTAGCTACATCTATGTACGTATTATCATGTACAGATACATATACCCCTTCTCTCTACTCCTAGCTACATCTATGTACGTATTATCATTTACAGATACATATATTTATTTATTTATCATTGATTATTGATAATTTCAGAGTGTGGTGTATTCTAGTCTGTAGTAGTAGAATATACTTGGGTATGCACTCTATAGGAGATATTATCGCTGGACTGGCGCTTTCCGCCACATTACTTCCACTCTTTGCACCACTTGGTAAAATTTTTTAACAAAAGTTTAATTTTTTTTTAAATATAATTTTTTTAATTATATAAAAATGTTTTGCAAAAAAGTATATGTTAAACTTGATGTTTAAATCTAGTATTTTGGAAAATTTGAGTCCGCTCAAATTACATTGTATGTAACATCTACATATTCTCTGCTAATCTATATTCTATTTAGCGGATGCTGTAGACAACTATCTTCATATCTACATATTCTCCGCTAATCTATATTCTATTTAGCGGATACTGTAGACAACTATCTTCTAACATCTACATATTCTCCGCTAATCTATATTCTATTTAGCGAATACTGTAGACAACTATCTTCTAACATCTACATATTCTCCGCTAATCTATATTCTATTTAGCGAATACTGTAGACAACTATCTTCTAACATCTAAATATTCTCCGCTAATCTATATTCTATATAGCGGATGTTGTAGACAATTATCTTCAAATCTACATATTCTCCGCTAATCTATATTCTATTTAGCGAATACTGTAGACAACTATCTTCAAATCTGCATATTCTCCGCTAATCTATATTCTATTTAGCGGATGCTGTAGACAATTATCTTCAAATCTGCATATTCTCCGCTAATCTATATTCTATTTAGCGGATGCTGTAGACAACTATCTTCAAATCTACATATTATCTGCTAATCTATATTCTATTTAGCGGATGCTGTAGACAACTATCTTCTAACATCTGCATATTCTCCGTTTGTAACAACAGGGTTGTCTATTCTCGCAATAGTTTTATACCCGGGCCGGGACAGGTCTTTTTTTCTTGTACTCTTTTAAAAATATATGATTGCATCTTGTTTTTAGCAGGAGAAATAACTGCAAATTTTTGGAATTTTGAAAAGAAAAAATTCTTTTCAAACAGAGATCCTTAAAAAGGTCAGAATGATCTATGTCTTCAATCATAGCAAGTTTGGCAAAAAAAAACCTTTTTTTTATTTTTAAAAATAACTTATTTTTTTAAGTTATTACATTAATACATTAAACATTCAAACTTTAGTATCTTCAAGTTGGAGAACAATTCCATTCATAAAAGTGCATCTTCGAAAATTAAAAAGAATTAAAAAAAAATTCAAGTTTTTAAATTTAGAAAGAGTATATGCCGGGATTTTAAACTGGAATTAATGAAAGTGTCTGTTACAGATGGACGCCAGCATGGGGGGACACTACACTTATAGTGGGCGCACATCTTGGACAACACCTAGGAAACTGGTTAAATTTTCAGGTTCGGATCCCATTCCCATGTAGCATGACAGTAGCAGTTAGACTTGAAATTCGTCTTTGAAATTTGAATTTATTTTTGACATTCAGTCCATAACCTACTTTCACAAGTATGATACTTGAAACAATAACCACAAAATTCTTCTAATCCTGGCATTTCCGAAATGGAGACTGCTTTTTTGAACTGTCGATATTAAGAATTTTGTTCAGATATTAATTTTAATAAATAAAACCAAAATTGTCTTAATCTGGACGAAATTGACGGCTAAATGCCGCAAATTATTTTTAAGATCACTAGACAACCTTTAACTCGTCTTCCTACTGTCATGTTTCGTGGGACACCCTGTAATACAGTGCTACACTTGGAAATTGTAATTTCATATTGCATGTTATATCTCTCAATAGATGGGGTTACTTGTATGTTATATCTCTCAATAGATGGGGTTACTTGTTGCTGCAAACATCCCTGCTCCCTATCCTATATTATGGCCAACCTGGGCATCTTTTGGTCTAACTATTTTCAGGTATTTGAACAAGATTTAATTGTAATTATTATCTTTATTCTTTTGGATTATGTTGTAAATTCTTGATTTTGATGATACTTCAATGAATCGACTTTTTATTTATTTACCTTTACTTTTACCTTTATTTCAAATAATTGACTTATAGCTCTAAAAATATGTAAAATATGTTATCGGAGGGTGGATTTATAGATAGATAGATAGAAGTTGTTGAACAATAGGTTTGTTTACTTTAACCTGATCTATATATACATCAGCCACACAAAATACGTAGTTTTAACTATTTAAAGCTTGGTCAACTTATTTCATTAAGTCCAAGCTATGAGGTCGGAAACTGAAGAGTGTGAGAAGTAATTGAACTATTATTCATTAGTTTAGACATCTGATCATAATATTATTGATTTTTTACACTTTAAAAATAGAATGATAATATAATATTTAACAATTGTGAATCAATCCACGAACCCTTATATTACTGTTTTTGAATTATTATTACAAGTCTATATTTAAAGTGTTGATTTGTTATCGTTGGAGTCACTAGATAAATATGTACATTGTACATCCAACTATTCAAGGGGTACACAGAAATAAATCTAGTGTGGGGGCTAAATATTCGCGAAGCGCAAAAAAAAATTTCCCCCACCAAAGAGCTCCCAGGGGGGGGCAAAGTTTTAACTGTAAATACAAAACATTTGAGTTCTTGGATACTTTAAAAGTACACATACAGTCTAATTACCTTGCAAGTACTGTACCTTATCTCTTCTTCAAACAAAACTAGCAGAAAAAAACAGCAAACTAATTTTTTTATGATCTTCACTCTTCAGTTTCAGATTTGAAAAGTGTTATTTATAGCTCTAAGTTCTAGGGGGGGGGCTACGTTGACAGCTTTTTTTAAAGAAGAATAACCCGCTAAACATTCTATCCCATCGCTTAAAAACACGGGGAGCTTGTATTTTAATTAGCTGCGGAACAGGGCTCCTCCAGAAATGGCTCCGATCGCTAAGTAGAGTGGGTGTAAAGCCGGATTAGTATTAGACATATTGGCTCTTTGTTAAATTTCCTTTTTTTTATTTTTCTTCTTTATTCTTGTAGATTCATATTTTTTGACTTAGTACCCTGGATATAGATACTGCATCAGCAAGATAGGAAGTTAACTAATCGAGCACATGGGGTTCATGGCCGCTTAGCCTTCCCTCCCTCCAATGTGTAAAGCCTTTCACAGCGCCCACATATACAGAGAGCTGTCTAGTAGGTCTGACCAGCAAGCCGGCCTAGGCACAACTTGATTAATTTACTTATATGCTACTATGGTTCTATGGCTGCAACAACAACAGCAATGTTTATATTTTTAGAGTTGTTATCGGTGGAGTTATTGGAGTAGCGACACGAGCAGTTTTTAAACCTCTTGCATTCATCATTGCTTGCTATATACTCAAGGAACCTAACCTTTTAGAAAACAAGGGGGGGGGAAAGGGGGAGGGACAAAAATAAAGAAGATTAGGGTATTTGAAAGAGGGGAATATCTTTTAGTGGTGATATGAGAGCAAATTAGGAAGTTTTTATGATGGGAGAATTTTTGTTTAGCTTAAATATTTATTTCTTGAAAAAAAAAATAGTTTGAAACGTATAGAACGTTGAAACATTGACCCAAACTGTTTGTTTTTCAAGATATTAATATTTAAGTTTGAGAATAAAGTTATCTTATAGAGGACGTGAGTCAGACTCTAATAAAACGCATAAATAACTTCCAGTATATATATTTCTTATAACTTATTACTAGAGGGTTCAGAACTAGAGTCAATATCGATATCGCACGTGTAGACTGTAGAGATGATATCAGTACTAA